TATGTCCCATCACAGCAGTGATGATCCTACAGGGCATAATGGGCCTACAGTTACTTGTTCTATAAAGCCATTTCTGCTTTAATGCCATTCTCTTCTGATTTCAGGAGTAGCTATTTCTGTGATTATGAGCAAGAGTGACCAGACTAGAAGGTCTTCACCAAAGCCAGTCATTTTTCACCATTTTTAACTTTGAATCCCACATAACATGAAAGCATAAGTAGCAATTTAATAAAATCTCAGGTATTTTGCTGAGATATTTCTGTTATGGCAGGAACACAGACTTTTCAGATAACATTAGTTTCTTCCTATGAGATACCTTTGATTTTGCCACTTCAACTCAGTGAAATACCAGAGTGATTTACTCTGCTTTCTATGCTCTCTTCATGGAAATGCAAATTACTGCATGACAGSCCAGACACCGGAGAAAGTAGGTGCTCTGGTGCAAGGTTTCCAACCTGAGTTCTAGCCTGAGGAGTTGGATAAGCAGCCAAATCTCTGCATCCTTTGAAGTTCATCCTGCGTCTGAAGAATTATGAATTCAGAAAAGGTCATGTCCTGGATGAATTTCTCGTAACTGAGGGACAGCCATGAGTTCTGAAAAGTATTTCATTAGTTACCTCAAAGTAGGGTCAACATTAGAGAGAGCTTGATTTTCACAGGAATATCTACCACTCCTACCCTCCCTGCACCATTTTGCTTTGTGAGTAGGGGAAACAGCACAACATGTTTGTATCCTGCAGGGCTTTCCTGCTCTTCACCACTTCTGCAGCTCTGGAATTCCTTCCCAAGCCAGTGTTTTGAGCCATATGGGAGCTACTGATGTCAATGGAGAAAGAAAGAGAGGGCTTTCTGGGGTGCTGTTGGTGAGCTATCAAAGCTTCCAAGGAGAAATGTCATCTGCTGTCCCCCAGCTTTTTGTGTGTAGGTTTTTTTTGAGAAACTGCTAGCAATGGGTGTTGCACAGTGCTTGCACAGGTTTGGTAGGTAAAATACAGCCTGGTAATATGAGACAGCTGGGAACCTCATTTTTCTAGGAGCAGATGGGTCATGAGTGGCCCAATAGTTACTGAGCAAATGAATGCAAGAGAAAAGGAAACTTCCTTCTTCACTGAGACAAACTATCAGGCTCCTTTGACCCGCCCTCCTTGCCTTCTGAGGGAATTAACACCCTGTGTGCCTGAGTTGAAAGGCAAGAGAGCAGTGCCACTGTACTGACAAGGTGGGCTTAAGCCAGAGAGATGTGGTTTCCTCTGGGGGAGAATGAGAGTGGAGATGGAGGAGAGGGATGCAAAGTATTGCATGATTCCTCTGAGGGTCGCGTTGCCCCCATGTTGCACTTTGTGATTAGCTGAATCACCGGAGCATCCTGTCAAATCAACCTCCTGCACAGATTTTTAGAACCTCTAATTGGCACCTGCATGGCACCCGCACAGCTACACGTCACCAATGCATCTCCTTGTGCCCTGCACAGCTTTCCACAGCTGTTTCCCCCAGTTTCAAGGCACAGTCAGTAGCTCACCATGGCATGAGGCAACCCTGACKTTAACTGGGACCCTGTGGCATGACCCAGCATTTGTGCAACAGAAAAGCTTTGCTTTATTGCTGTGACAAATGTTTCTCCATGTTTCCTGTTTATCACAGGCTCTGAGCTTCTGTAGACAGGCTATTCTGAGCTTGCCCTGCTTTCTGATAATTGCATGTGCATTAAAGCAAACACCCCTGCAGGGTTTCTCCACTCCCCTGTCCTTGCCAGCTCAGAGCTGGACWACATTCCATGGCTTGCAAACACAGGGCTGCACAAAAAAAAAGGCATGCCAGGGGCTGGCAAAGCCTGGGGAAGGAGGCAAGCTGCATGCTATTTCAGGCCTCTCTTATTTTGCCAGTGAGTTCAGATACCTCTCCTTTGCTAGTGGCATGATGGCTGCTAGGTTCTCCAGAGCCGTGCATCAGTGACATTGCTATTGAGATCTGCAGTCTGTGTCCAACCCAAATCAATGCCTTCTTTGTAGGAATATAAAAAATGAACAGGATCCAGSAGAGCAACCCATCAGTAATGGCTGCAGTAGTAATTCTGAGTAGGTGGTCTGTTTCATATTTCTGGGAACTCCTGTTTTTCTTTCAAAAGAGCAAAAGGCAGGATGCTGCTATAAGATTTTTTTGAGGATGATCTTTATCAGAATGCTGTTTAGAGAACTGGGAATCTCTAGATCCTAAAGTAATTCAGCCATCAGTGTCTTTTGCTTCTATCTRGGACAAAGTCCTGGACTACAAGAGGTACAGTAATGACATTTTTCCTTCATAAGTGCCCTTTCACAGAAGGATTGTACAAAGTCTTATTTGAGATGAGTAGATCACTTTAGTCCTTGGTTTRCAGATGGAAGGGGTAGCAGACTGTGGAAAGCTGACTGGTGCCGACAACACGCCACTGCACTGAACACACTGCAGTGAAATGCTGCYAGGCACAACAAGACAGATGCTCTCTACTTACCTGAGTTGAAATTGAGACTTCCAAATCTGTATTTCCTTTTAGGATTTAGTTCCCAAGAATTTGCATAGAGCCTTCTATGCTCTCACACTTAAAATTATGAAAAAGAAGCAACTCAGGTTAATTMCTTTTAGTTGGTTCCTAGAGTAAATCTATAGGTCATAAGTAGAAATTTCTTTTCTTTCTGATTGCCTGTTATTGAACACAGGCGCTGCAGTGCTGCAGCTGAATTCCCTCTTCCAAGTAGTAGTCATAAGCCACCTCCTCTTCTCATGCTTTCAGACAGCAACCAAGCAGGACCCTGACTGGATGCTGCCTCCAACACTCACTTGGCCTGAATTTATGTTGCCGCTGAACCAACCAAGAGGTTTCTCAGAAGTGAATCACCCATGCAGTTAGACAGCCCATTCTGCAGGGAATTCTAACTTTCACAGGCAGGATAACCCCCAGGAGGAAGATCGGGGTTGGATTTTCCTGTCATAGCTAGTACAATGCTCACATTCCCCATGAAATACCTGTTYTTGCCCATCCAAAAGGAACTTTGTTGGAGTTGCAGTTTCTGAGCAGCTGCAGGACATGTTGCTGATGGTGGATCTCGGTACCACTGGTAGAGTGTTATAAGAGAGGGTGCTTCTTCTGTTTTGCTTTTCCTCATTTTTGATGCAAATCCAACTTTTATCAATTATAGGGCTGAGCAAGTCCTCTGCAAATATCAGTGCATATCTTGTTAGAGAGAAGAGTAACAGGTCTTTTTGAAGAGGAGGCAAAAATAGAATAAACTAGCTACCCCTGGGTTTGTGGTGACATAGCTGCACAGTTGAAATCTACCCAACTTTTGTTTCCTGTTTGTGTAAGTGGCTTTCAGCAAAGTGCTGGTCATGATAAGTTAACACCCACAGAGTTGTCACCATCAAGCACTGTGTATCACTGAATTCCTAGCAGTTCTGGCAGTGCTGAACTGCATACATACATGTTAGAATACATTCCCCACTTCTCTGAAGGAGCTATWTCCAGAGATCCCAAGAGTGGAAGTRGAATTTCTCCRATGACTTTTGACTCTGCAGAGAGGAATAAGTGTCTTTGAAAGACTGAGATTGGCACATGTACAGATACACTCTCCTCCATCCTAATATATGAGGAAGGCTAAAGATGATGTACTGCAAAAGTTGGTTTTGCTGTTTTTATGTGGTGCTGTAGAGGAAGAGAGATGTGGGGTGATAACCAACATGCTAGGAAACCCTCMTCTGCACAGTGCTGCAAACTACCATTTTCTAATTTCCTGCAGAGTACCTTACTGGCATTCAGGTAAAGTTGTCTGTGTTTAGACTTAGCAGAGGATGTTCTCAGRGGAATTTAAAGGACATCGAGAACTAAAGGTGTACTGGGCAAGCTCCTCATTACTCATCTGATTCCTGCACGGGAGATATTAAGGGATGGTTTTGTGGTTTGTTCATGGTAGCAGTTCCAGGACAATCAGTTATTTAAAGGACTGGAAAAAATCCTACCTAGCTGTCCTTGTTTGCTTCTTTAGGTCTTTTTCTTGCCCTTGTGGATTCCTAGAAATGTGTCACACCCGACTGTGCAATGCTTAGACCACGTCTCGTTGCAGAGTTTATTTCACTTATCCACAATCTTCACAGTGCTACATTAACTCCCTTGGACTTGGCCTAGGTCAAATCAGAGCAGTTACAGTGTGGTTTTGAGCAGCAGTGCAATTTTGCTAACAGCTGAGGAATTGCACTGACTCCATCTCTAATGAATACCCTTAGTGGTCATGATAGGAATTTTGGGTGAGAACAAGGCTTGCACTAATTACAGGGACTTAGTCACAACTTGTTAACTCAGCATTGGCAACATGCTCTTGGAAGCAGCCATACTTGGGCACACTGGGAATTGAGGGAAAGCACAGTCCAGTGCTCAAGGCTCTGAACRCTGCGTCTCCAGTAATCTGGTTTAATTTCTTGTTGTGCCTTGCACTTCCTATGTCACTTCTAATATTTCTTTCCCTTTCTGCGCCTCAGTTCTCAGTGCAGCTATAAAATCACACTGCTGTGTGCATTCTCCCCTGCATGCATGGCACGTTCTTCATGTTAACTGAGTATGCAGTACACAGTGCAGCCACACCTGTGGCTGTGGGAGGTCAGGAGAGCCCTAGGTGCCATCTTAGAGTTTCTCTACTTTGARAATATGTCATTGTCTTTGGACTGTGAGGCAAGAACAGCCTTGAATGTTCATATAACTCCCACAGCTAATTTTCTTTGGTAGGTTTGGGACTTTTCTTTCAACCTTGAAATTTTGCTTGTTTTTGGTTCTGCAGGGCAGRGAGTGCTGAGGCTGAATAAATTGAATTTTTCTTAAATTATAGAAGTGCTAAGTAAGATCCATTGTTACARTTTTCCATGTCCTCTGCATATAAAGAGGAGTGGAAAATGGATAAATGRGAAGAAAATGTGACAGTGTCTAATGTGATCTAAGACCAGTCTTCTAATCTTCTGTTTCTTTTTGTTTCTTCTAGGTGGAGCGGGAAATAGCCATCCTGAAGTTGATAGAACATCCCCACGTTTTAAAGCTGCATGATGTTTACGAAAATAAAAAATATTTGTAGGTATTACTGGCTTCTGCCAGAGAAGGGGGAAGGGAAGGAGGAAGAAAGGGAGGGAGATCAGGGGTTTGGAACTTGGTCATGTTTCTGAACAAATGGAACAGGTGTGTTTTCACCCTCTGCTGGTGTTTGTGATATTTGGTGTTTGGATGAGGAATGAACACTCRTTATTTCCCTGGCTTTTCTCATGTTCTTCTTTGTACTTTTGTAGAATCATAGAATCATTAAGGTTRGAAAATGTATCATTGTCCAGCCATTAACCTACTGCAACCATATTCACCACTAAACCATGCCCCCAGATGCCACATCCACATRTTTTTTGAGCACTTCCAGGAATGATGATTCCACCAYTTCCCTGGACAGCCTGTTTCCATGCCTGACCAACCTTTCAGTGAAGAAATTTTTCCCAGTATCCAGTCCAGACCTCCCCTGGTACAATCTGAGGCCATTTCCTCTCGTCCTGTCACTTTTTAACTGGGACAAGAGATTGACGCCCTGGCTACAGCCTCCTTGCAGTGAGTTGTAGAGAGTGATAAGGTACCCCCTGAGCCTACTTTTCTCCAGGCTCAACATCCCAACTTCCTCAGCCACTCCTCACAGGACTTGTGCCCTAGACCTTTAACTGTCCTTCCTTGGACATGCTCCAGCACCTCAGCGTCTTTCTTGGAGTGAGCCTTTACTTATATGCTGTTTCTTTTCCTATTTAAGACRGAAGAACGATGACAAACCAATGTTTTCTATAAAATAGAAGAGAAGGAAGGTTTGTACCTATGAGAACTGGGACCATTTTGAATCAAAGCTGTAACAGACTTACAGCGGATAATTTGGATAACCTCCTTTGCCTAATAGTTTTCAATGAAACCCTAAACTCTCAYTAAAAGTGTTTTAAATTTGTCCCATCAACAACAGGTTTTGGTTTTAAGGGTCCCTCTAATCTCCTGGTGGTTCTCCAGTGACAGTTATGTAGCAAAGCTCATTTTTTTCCTMCCAGATCATTACCAGATAGGGATGCTGTCCACAATCACTTTAGCTTTATTTAGGGCACTGAATATGTTGTATCTGTTGTCAAACAAACAGGCCACATTAATCTTGGCACAACAGGAAAAAAATCAATGTTCTCCAAATAGAAAAGGGYGACCCAGTAGGGAACTCCTTATTTCCAGCTTTTTAACAGGTTATTACAGGTAGAAGAGTGGTTAAAAAAGATGAAACAGTTTTTAAAAGCCACCATCCACTGATGACCGCGTTTTAGCATCACAACACAAGAAGGGAATGATTGTTTATCGAAAGAAAGCGTTGAATGGAGGTAACAGTCCCTCATGGACTATTCAGCCAGTCTTGTTACTGGAGCAATGAATTCCTATTCTGAGAAGCGAGGCCTCTCTGCCTAAGGGTTAGCTTAGTAGAGCAAGCAGTAATTTCCTTTGGATTCRCCCTCCTCCTTTGGGGCAGAGCCTGCCATCCATGGTGGAATGCAGTTGCCAGAAAGAGCTCGTGCTGGGTGGAGGGTGGCTCAGATGTTTTCAGAACTGCTTGCTGAGTGCTCTGTCCTCAGTGGCRTAAATGGCCATGGCTCCATGAAGCCCTGTTTGCTGCAGATGAGGACAGAGACCCAGATCTAACACAGCCTGCTCTGTGTGCAGAAGGGTAGCAGAAATCAGGGAAATCAGGCTTCACAGGGAGCATGTTCTCCTTTATTCCTGAAAAGGGAGGCAGAGGGCATCTCCTCCGTATTCTGATTGAAGGGGGAATGAGATCCCTCTTTGGATTAAGAGAGAGAAAATATTCTTTGTGATCTTGATTTCTGTGTTGTGTAATCGTAGGTATACACAAACAGTATTGCACAAGCACAGCAAACAGCTGATGTGTTGATGTGTTCCAGGCAGGTGTAGTAGACTTGAGCAGTGACAATGTATGGATACATGCAGAGGAAAGACCACGGTGGGGTGGGCTACAGAGGTGCTGAAGCCTTCTTCYTGCTAGGAATGCCTTTGAAGCCAGAAGCTGAGCTTTCCTTCTTTACCCCATAAGACTTGGGGGCTATTTTGCTCCCATGCGAAAAATATCTAGTGCTCAGAGGAGTGAGGATGGTGTTGCACTATTATTTCCAAAAAAATACTGCATTTATTGGCAGGAAAACATCTTCCTGATGAAAAGCACCTTTAAAAGGAAATCATCCCATACCTTTAAGCTATGTCTGGACATCCTGACTTCTATAAAACRTTGGGCTCCAAAGCGTGCTTTGCCAATGACCGTTTAGCCTTTAAAAATCACTAATTCTGCTTTGTGCTTTAGCTCCTCTGCCTGTAAGATTAAGCTGTCTGCATCCCCCTGCAAAGGCACTGAATCCCTCTGCTGAAAGACACTGACTCTGAAAGAACCAATGACTGTTAATTAAGTTTCATTTTTTATTAGTCACTGTTTTAAAGAAAGGGCATAATGCAGAGCTTCTGCCAAGCTCTGTGTTCAAAATTAGAAACAGCTGTGGCCTTTGATAAATCTGAGAGGTGGAAGAGAGTGCCTGTGGAGGGGTTAGGTGTTACAAGTGCGTGGGGGCTGAGGAGTGTGTATGCATGTACTTTCCCAAATAATAAGACACGGTGACCTCTGGTTCTCACCAACATCAGAAAAGGGATTGCTGTCTGGTTGTGGCAGCACCTTTCCATCATGCATGCCATCCCAGCACTAGCAGTAGTGGCATGATTTCAGAGGAGCTCATGAATTATGGGTGATATTTCAGAAGCCAGAGACTAATCACAATGCAGCGCTGGGGAGTATTTCCTCGATAAATGTTAATTTCACAAATCATGTTTGACTTTTAGTTTATGATTTAATTTGTGACAAGGGGCTTTGGTTGAGTAGATTCCTAATGCAACCATGAATCAAATCCTTTTTCCACAGTTTATTTAACACTGAGAATGAGTTTTAAAAAATAATAATAAAAATCTGCTGGCATATGTGTATTAGCCAAACAGTCTTTTTCTGTTTATTTTGGTAGGGTTCTTTTTGCCAAGATAGTTGGAGAGGTGGAGATAGCTATGAAATCTATTATTCCACCTCTTTGTCCATCATGCTAATTCTAATTTTGAATTGTCTTATTTGGTAAGACTGTGGACTACACATCTAGGTGTGTAGGGAAAAACACAGCAGCATTGTGGCTCTCTGTAAGTGATATATAGTCTCAGATACATGTTATGCTAGCTAAACGAGCAATATTACTGACAGCTGAATTATCTCGTATTTGTTGTATGATCACACTGATGGCCTTCAAGCAAGATTGGGAGTCCACAGTAATAGATAATTTAGAAATAGCTATAGATGATCAATGCCTCCCTCTTTCCCATTGTATAATGTCAATAGACAAAACAGCCAGGAAGGGGGAATCATCCTCCCTTTTTAAAGATCAAGACTGACTCAAAATGGCCTGGTATGGGAATGAGCACTGGGCTACCAAAACTTGTGTGTACACCAGTCATTTTGACTAAGGAAGTTTAGACACTCAGGAATTTTAGGGAAATATACATCATGGAATCATCACAGAATGGGTTGGGTTGCAAGGGACCTTAAATATCATCCAGTTTCAACCAGCCTGCCATGGGCAGGGAACCCTTTGATTAGACCAGGTTGCTCAGAGCTGACCTGGAATATTTCCAGGAAYGGGGCATACACTAATGAACACAGAGAAGGAGCAAGGCAGTAACAGATAATAAAGAAGTTTTGGTCTGTTTGTGCATGCACTGGAGGGGACACACTCCTTTGGTCATTTCTGCATTGAGATGAACTGTTTGAACCTGGGGGATGATCCTCTTTTCTCTGTGCTACAAATAGAAAAGGTTTTCACTGAGTTGACCCTACACAGGGTTTGTATAGCAACTGGACAGGGAGTTCATGCATTTGTCAGCAGCRCAACCACTGTGAACGAGCAGAAGGTTCTTGTTAGCAGACTTGTTGAGGATTAAAGAAGAGGGAACATGCCAAGCCCAGTCCCTCATGAGTGAAGTCACTGGCTCCAATRTTTTCCAGGAAGCAATCTTACGCTTTATTCTTAAATCTTGGACATGTATATTTACTGCATTTTATTTGCTGTGTTTTATGCAGCATATTCAACTTTTCTTTTGATCACAGAAAAGCAGTTGTCCCACCGTTGAAGGAGTTGTTAACATAGCAAGCTAAGGCCATCATAGAGTCTGCAGGGGATGGAACTACCTTTTCCAGAGGGGATAAAGCTCACTGGTACAGTTCTGTTGCAGAACTCYCAACAGAGGTGGTGGCATTATCTGTTTTGATCTCATTTGTTTAGCTATTTAGTTTCARTTGTGAGGGGCTTGGTGGGGAGTGGAAATAAAATTTTTAAAAATATATACTAGAATCACTCCATGCCCTTACCTTTCAGATGCTTAGACTGGTATTTCTTGATTCCCTTTCCATTGATGTGTGTATATATATATATATATATATATATATATGTAAATTTCTATATGGAGATGTGTACAGATTTTTGTGTATATATGTGTAGGTTCATGTTGAGTGATTTTCAAATCTTCACATTTAACATTTCGAATTTAAAATTTAATGGCAGTTTTTATTTTAAATCTCTATGTCATCCAACTTGATCAGCATTTTAAGCAAGAATTTGTTTTGAGAGGAGTAGTGGATACCAGACAATTGTTCTCTGAAGTGTGCCATACATTCTGCACCTTTTTCAAATAGAAGTACCTTTCTCATCTTCCATCAGTTCAGTGCTRTCACTGGAGAAGTGTCCAGATTGCAATGTACACAACACACCAGCTCCTGATTTCAGAGGTGAAGGTGCGTCACAATGAGCCAGATAAGAAAATTTGAATGTCCTCCTACCCATTCACAACTCATGTTTCTGGCTCATACAAAATCAGCAGCAGGAGTCAATGACTTACAGCTCTGGTGGTGTCTGCAGAGGCTTTTGTGCTGCCTGTCCTCTCCTGCAGGGTTTTCCTGTAATACTTTTTTTTTTGTTGAAAAC